ATCTGGTGGCACATGATATTGACTTATCCTGATTACTGATGTTGTTAACTTTGATCACTTGATTAATATGGTGTTTATCAAGCACTTCCAGTGTGTGGTTACTCTTTTCCATATATATAATTAATAGGTGTTTTGTGGGGAGGTACTTTGAGACTCTATCAATATCCCATTGCATACCAAACTTTTCCCATTTACTTATTTACTTGTATTAGTATGGACTCAGGGTTTCCTATTTTATTCAGTGGGTGTAATTTATTACTGTTTATTTTGATGCTTGCCTTGTCCCAGATTTGGCCAGCCCCTTAATTCAGGTTTCTACGTCTTTTTGACATATTCCCTTTCAGTCTTTAAGCCCTTCTTTAACTTTCTATATACATTTTATCATCTGTTTCAACAACATTTCGGGTCATTTAGATTACTTTGAATCTTCATTATGCCACTTTTAACTATTCCTCTTACATAATAAGCATGTCTTCTATTTCTTTATTCAAGTCGTGGATAATAACAATCAATGAGTTGAAGCCAAAGAAAGGGCCCAGTTGTTCTGCTCCAGAAACTTCTTTCCAGATCGGGGATTCTCAACCAGTTAATCAGTTAATATTAATTAATATACTATTTTTTAGTTTATTTTGAAGAATTATCTGATTAGTCTTCCAGCTAGTTGCTGCTGCCAAGTCAATGTCACTGACAAGCCAAAAACTCTATCAAGATCTTCCCTAGACCCCAACCATCTCCTTCCTGAAAGAAAAAATTTTTTAGCATTTTTAGCATGCTGTTCTTCATGACTGACAGCACCATCTCCATCTGATCCCAGGGTTCAGAGAACACTTAGCTTCATGTCACCCTCATTGCCAGTAGGATCTTTACTTACAACCCACTTTGTAATATAACAGCTCTGAGGGCAGGGGGAGAAACAGAACAAAATGAAAACTTAATTCTTAGCACATGTTATAAACTCAGTAATATAACTTAACTACGGAACTGAATAAATACTGAAGATTAATGCAAATAAATTAACCCAAACTTTACATGGGTCTAACTGTTCAGCTAGCTGTGAGTGTACAACGTGAGTCTCCAAAGCCAAAAATCTGGATTCCAGTATAGAACCCAAGACTTACAGCTGTAAAACTTGGGAAAGCCACTAAATTACTCTGAGTTTCAGTGTCCTTTTATTGTTGTTATTGTTGTTGTTAGATGGAACTAATAAATGGAGCCCCCCTGCCTGCTCCACACTGTTGTAGAAGCCAGAGAATATCATGTAAATGAAAAGTTTCTGTATGCAATTAACTGGTATGAAAGTGTAAGATTATTATTCTTATCACAAATATATAGTGCTGTCATACAGTTGATTTTCTGTTATTTTATAAGAAAAGAATCATGGGCAGACTTTTCAAATGCCTATCATTTTCCTAAGCTATTTTCCTAATTCTGATCCATTTTTAAAAAAGAAAATGAAGCTAACTTGGCAGGACTTTTCTTTTGATCCTACCTAATTTGTTTGTTTGTTTAATGCTCACAAATTATCTACTTAATAAGTTGTTCTCAAAATTTGGTGGGATCAACATAAGCCTCACTATTTGGTTTATAAATTCTTCCTATCTCTAATTAGAAAGTTAGAACAGATTCACTTCTCAAGACTGACGTGGCATCTTTCCTCCGCTCCTTGATATTTCAAGAAGTAGTGGAATTAACTCTTAAAGAGACTAGAGAAAGCATCAGGCTTAGCCCTTGTTGTTCAGGAACATGTTTCACAGCCTGGGGACAAGTTGGGGAGTTGGGGGACATCTCTATGTCTCTATCTTCCATCTATAAAATGAACGTAAAGAATCCTACTTCTCACTGTTGTAATAAGGACTAAATGCAATAATGCATGTGAAATAAGACCTATAAATTATAAAACTTTAAAGAAATATGTTAGTAACATATGATTCAGAACTCTGGGATAATAATAATAAAAGCTATCATTTACTGAATGTACTCTCCTTACCAGACTCTGTGCTCTCTTTTGATGCTACAACAACCCAATATGTATTATTATCCCTATTTTACAAATGAGGAAGCTGAGGGTCAGAGGGGATAAGTACTGCCCAAAGTCACACAGCTAATACGCAGTCGAGCAAATTCAAACCCAGTTATGTCTGGCCCCAAAACCTATACCCTCAACCCTTGCCTCCAATTTTACCTCATACTCCGTCCTATTTGGCCCTACAGGGTTGAACTCATTTAAGCAGAAGCTGCCCTGAAAAGCTCTCTTCTGTTAGGAACTGTTGCCAACCTTTATATTGTTGATTCTAAATTTTCCAATATGAAAACCATTCTATTCTGGAGAAGACAGAAACCACATAGTTGATTAGTAGCGCTGAACTCTCTTATTTATCTGCTAACACTGTACCATCTTCTGAAAGAAGCAGCCCTCTTCTTTCGTACTCTTTTGTATGAACATTTTCTCTATTTTACAATTTCAAAAGCCTCAATTCCCTTTGCCTTTAGTACTAGGTGCAAAAATGCCCAGTTTAATTAGAAAGACTTTAATTGGTTACCTGTTCAATTACTTGAATAGATTTCTGGCCAAGTACATTTTCTGCATAAGGTAATTAATTAGTAACCCATGCCCACAAATCCTCCCTCAAATTCTTACATCATACAGATTTCTCCTTTTTAAATATCCTCAATGTTTATATTGATAGGTGTTACCAATTTGTCATGTACTTATACAAAAATTAGTGGTTTCAGAAGTGAATGATCCTGAACTGAATCAATAATTATCAAGAGCAATAACACTTTATGAATTTAGTGCTAAATAATACATATGAAAAGCTTATTTATTTGGGAATTTATTACTTAACTTACCACAAGTGTGTTAATTGTGAACTTTGACAGCTAAATGATCAGCTGTGTAGACAGGACCCATATGAATGCTGCCTTGTGTTAGTGAGCAGACATCCCTACAACTTCTATGAAACCATCAGCCTGTTACTGCTGTTGACACTTTGAAAGAACTCACAGTTGCATTATACTATCATTTGAACATTTGAAAATAAATCGAACTATTCACCAAAGACATGTGTAATACGTTGACCTTTCAGGTTCAATCAACTTGGAAAAAATAATTCTTTTTGATCTCAATATTACTCTTTGTAATTTGATTCCAAGAATATTTTTACTTTTACACTAACACTCTCTAAAAACTTCATTTTCTCAGAATCTCTATAGTTCCTATTTAAAAAGTCTTTTTAAACTTATGTAATAACTATAGATATTAATCACTTTTAAAATGGCATGAACTAATGGGCACATCTTGACCCAATTGAAAATTCATACCATTCTCTGGAAAAAAGTCCCTTGGCAAAATATCCTTGGGAAGAGAACAATACCAGAAATTAACAACTGCTTAATTTTAATGTATAGAAAGAGTTACCTTGTTTTCTTAGACTACATTGTAAGTGAATATAATTTTCTTAAAAAGGAGACACTGTGGGAAACATATGAAAGGATTCATTTCCTGCTGTTTTTGGAAAAATGTAATTCTTCTGTAGCATTAGCTAAAAGATTTACTCTAAAATGGCTTTTCAACAATAGCGTATTGTGAGTCAGAAATATTTTCTTTCTCGTTACAGAGATTTAACAGGTTTTGACAATCAAACAGGAGATTTTTGTATAATTTTTGCATGAATGTTTAGTTCTTCCTACTCAGCTGGAAATTATTTCAGAAAATGATTTAGGAGCTAATGTGAGGTCCTTAGACCAAAAACAACAACAACAATAACAGCAGCATGTTACCAAAGCAAACTTGAGTCCACTCACCTGTGCGCAGTGCCCAGTAAAGCCATTCTACTGCCACCGGGTTGTGGTGAAGGAAAGTGCAGCATTTATTGCAGTCCCCAAGCAAGGAGTCTAGGCAGCTAGTGCTCAAAAGACTCTGAAATGGCTTTCAGGGAAAGGTTTTTAAAGACACAGCAAGGGAGACGATTATGGGGTGTGTGATCAGCTCATAGACATTCTTCTGATTGGTTGGTGGTGAGGTAACCAGGAGTCAACATCTTCAACCTTCTGGTTCCAACCAGTCCGGGATCTATGTGCTTGTGGGCAGCATTCAGTTAACTTCTCCCACCTGGTGGGGGTTTCAGAATCGATAAAATAGTGCAAAGATATGGCTCAGAATATTATCTCTAGCCCTTGAGGAGGAACTAAAGATCCTTGACTTTGTTTGATGGCTAAACTATTACTATTTTGTCTTGCTTGACTGTTTTCCTTTGTTTCTACATTTTCTCACTTCTCTGATTAAACTTATTCTTTGGAACTTGGGGAAGGCCTAGGAGGCTAAAGTTTTTCTGAGAACAAGAAGCAGGCAGAGCACATGGCATGGTGGGAGGGGGCTGGGAGGTGGGGTCTATCCTGAGAAGGCTCCATAGGATTCTGCTCAGTTACAAACACTCTGAAATTTATATACTTTTCTTTCTCATGTTAGTTTGTTATGTCATGTAATTAATTTAAAAATTAAAGTTTATTCAGATTAATTCTGTTATAAGAACTTTAAAAAGACTTTGAGGGTTTCCCTGGTGGCGCAGTGATTGAGAGTCCGCCCGCCGATGCGGGGGACGCGGGTTCGTGCCCCGGTCCGGGAGGATCCCACGTGCCGCTGAGTGGCTGGGCCCGTGACCCATGGCCGCTGAGCCTGCGCGTCCGGAGCCTGTGCTCCGCAACGGGAGAGGCCACGACAGTGAGAGGCCCGCGTACTGCAAAAAAAAAAAAAAAAAAAAAGACTTTGAGATAGGTGGTGAAACCTTAGTTTCAAAAGTACTGATTTAAATGCATTTCAAATGTTAAACATGTAGCTAATTAGGGTAGGACTTTTGAGCAACAGTAGAATACTGAATTGGTCATATTTTATTTGGGGTAACATTCCTCTTCATAGAAACATTGTTTAATTTAAGAATCATTGTTTTATGTGGAATCTATCTTTTATCCTGCACTGACACAATTTTCACTCTTTTGTCAAGGTATCAGATACATACCGGACTTCAACATTCTATCATAAGACCTACACAGCCCAACTGCTTACCTCTGGACAATGCAACCCTACCTCAGAAGCTGAAAGAGGTTGGATATTCAACACATATGGTTGGAAAATGGCATTTGGGTTTTTATAGAAAAGAATGTATGCCCACCAAGAGAGGATTTGATACCTTTTTTGGTTCCCTCTTGGGAAGTGGCGATTACTATACACACTACAAATGTGACAGTCCCGGGATGTGTGGCTATGACTTGTACGAAAATGACAATGCTGCCTGGGACTACGACAATGGCATATACTCCACACAGATGTACACTCAGAGAGTGCAACAAATCTTAGCTTCTCATGACCCCAGAAAGCCTATATTTTTATATATTGCCTACCAAGCTGTGCACTCTCCACTGCAAGCTCCTGGCAGGTATTTTGAACACTACAGATCCATTATCAACATAAATAGGCGCAGGTATGCTGCCATGCTTTCCTGCTTAGACGAAGCAATCAACAATGTGACCCTGGCTCTAAAGACATATGGTTTCTATAACAACAGCATTATCATATACTCTTCAGATAACGGCGGCCAGCCCACAGCAGGAGGAAGTAACTGGCCCCTCAGAGGTAGCAAAGGAACCTACTGGGAAGGGGGGATCCGGGCTGTTGGCTTCGTGCACAGCCCACTTCTGAAAAACAAGGGAACGGTGTGTAAGGAGCTTGTGCACATCACTGACTGGTACCCCACTCTGATTTCACTGGCTGAAGGACAAATTGATGAGGACATTCAGTTGGATGGCTATGACATCTGGGAGACCATAAGTGAAGGCCTTCGTTCTCCCCGCATAGATATTTTGCACAACATCGACCCCATTTATACCAAGGCGAAAAATGGCTCCTGGGCGGCGGGCTATGGGATCTGGAACACTGCCATCCAGTCGGCCATCAGGGTGCAGCACTGGAAACTGCTCACAGGGAACCCCGGGTACAGTGACTGGGTGCCCCCTCAGTCGTTCAGCAACCTAGGGCCGAACCGGTGGCACAACGAACGGATTACGTTGTCAACTGGCAAAAGTGTATGGCTGTTCAACATCACAGCCGACCCCTACGAGAGAGTGGACCTTTCTAACAGGTATCCCGGAGTTGTGAAGCAGCTCCTCCGGAGGCTCTCACAGTTCAACAAGACCGCAGTGCCTGTCAGGTACCCCCCCAAAGACCCCAGAAGTAACCCTCGGCTCAATGGAGGAGTCTGGGGACCATGGTATAAAGAGGAAAACAAGAAACAGAAGCTACGCAAAAATAAGACTGAGAAAAAGCAGAAGAAAAGTAAGACAAAGAAGAAACAGCAGAAAGCGGGTTCGTTTACAAATTGCCGTTTGGGTGTTCCTCGTGGATAGGTACAAATTTTTTCCTGTCTGGTTAAACTTAAATCAGTACGTAGTCTTTCACCAGTTTTCTGGGTGAACCAGCATGTTTGGCTCAGTAGGATTCCTGCCATCAACCTCGCTGTTTTCGTGTTGTGCTACTCCAGAGACTTCTGCCACCTGGAAAGCTTGTGCTCAGTGCCAAAGGTGCTACTCTTGGAAGCCATGCTTAGAGCAGAAAGGAGATGTTTGTTTCTCTTGCTCGTTTATAAAAGGTGGTCAGTGACGAGTCCAGCTGTTGTGCTTCAGTCAATTGACCAAACACTATGCTTTAAATTATAACATTGGACTGTAACCCGCAATTGATGGACATGCTACTTTGATGGAAGTTACAGGGCAGCATGATTAAAAACCACCTTTGATGAAGTGTAGTCAAAGGTTGCATCACCTCAAAGGCCTTGAAGAACATTTTTTTCTTAGTGAATTTTTGTGTCTCTATCATAGGACACTTGGGTTTTTTTAATTAATTCTATTTCATATATCATTTCCTTTCCTGTGAAAATAAGCTGTTTTTCTCACATGTGAACAGCTTGCACCTCACTTCATCATGCATAAGGGGATGGCAAATAAGAATGTTTGAGCACACTGCCAAAACGTGAATGTAACTATCTTCTAAACACTTTAATGGAATGATGTTTCAGAATAAAGTACATAATTTATTTTTACAGAAAAAATATTAATTATTTTGTTTTCATAAAAAGTTATACAAATGACTTTTAATTATTTTATTTTTATTTTCTACATGCCATTAGAAGAATTTTATTTCATATTATCAAGATTATCAAGCACTGTAATACTATAAATTAATAGTGTGTGAATTCATAGAATATAAAAAGAAAAAAAATGATAATCATCATTGTTCAACCATTATTTTGAATGTAATAAGATGAATATATTCCTTACAAATTACTTGGAAATTCAGCGTTTGTACAGAATTGAGAGACAACTTTATTGTTTCTGTCATAAACACTTTATTTATGTATCTTAATTATTAAAATGACATATTTCATAGCACCAGCAGATTGTGTGGCTTTTCTGATTTAACATCTATATAGAATTATATTATTCATTTTAACAAACAAAAATCTTTACAAATAGGCAAATAAAGGTATGATTTGCTAACAACCATAGTAATATAATATGGATTTTGCAAATAAGAGATATTTCCACTTGGCCACTGCATGGAGAAAAGTGTTCTCTTGTTAATAAATAAGATTTGTAATGACCCTACTCTTATACAACGTGGATGTGGTGGGGAGATACAGAGAAATGAAGATATGGATCCTACCTGGCATTGTTAAAAATCGAATTTGAAACTCACGCATGCAAACGCCATGAGGAGGATTAAAGGAACGTGATCTGTAATGAAGTTTATCATGGGTGATCAGTGAGGACAGGTTGATGTGGTTCCCGTGGGCCCTGGAGTTTTCTTTAAGGTGCCCTCTCCTAATATTGCCTGTAAGTCTCATAGTTTACACTCGAAAAATCACAGAGAGCTAGAACTGTGATATGTGAAGTTACAATTGTGATTAAAGAAATGTACGTGGCAGTATGGCAGCATACTATTAAATACATTTATATCAGAATTCAGAGGATAGCTTCTCACAGTTCATGGAAATCTATAAAAGAATCGATAGACTGTTACCAAAATTACTAAAATGGACAAAAATAATTTAATATTTAGAAATTTTAATATTTCAGTTCTAGAATATATATCTCCGTTTCATTATATAGGATTAAGTACTATTTCCTGAGTTTGTGTTTTGTCAACTGTATATTTAAATGGGTCTTAAAAATCAAAGGCATACTGTCAGTGTTTTCCTCTCTTAGTGGCACATAAATTAATGAGGTGTCATAAAATAGATAGTATCTTATAATTCAAAAGATAGTTATTATTACATTAAAAAAGAGTTCTGAGGAAAAATGAGTTCAGGATATGTGGAGTTAAACAAGGTTAAAGGGTTCAATTTATGCAGACTTTCTTTTACAGTTTTTAAAATCCTAGCTTGCCTTGTAAATCTCTAACAGAAGGAAATTTTTATACAGTGTTTTCTAATTTACTTCACCATAAAACCCTTGTCTATAGCACATTACACAGGACTAGGCAAAGTATGGAACAGACCTCAGAAATTTTTAGTGTAAACATAGAATCTTCTAGAAATCCCTAGCAAAACAAAAAGGAGCAAAGAGGCAAATTAGGATCGTGAAAATTAACTCACATTTGAGGCCAGTAGATATTATGTAATATGGTGTGATTTTAAATTCTCTGTAAATGACCATAACTTTCTCAATGAAAATAAATTAGCCCACAGTTTTCTACCTGGAAATGACTTCAAGGACATTATTTACTATTTTTAGGAGAGTGCCTGCCCGCCCCCCCATGACTCTGGGTAGGCGATTTAGGAGAAGTCTGTGTCTTGCCCTTAAGAAACTAAAGTCTAATACAATAGTCATGTATAAATAATGAACAGAAATGTTTCCAAAATGCTGTCAGCGAATCACTAGGTGTTTCAAGATGTCCAGGGAGGAAAATACTCCTCACTTGACTTTTATGCCTTAACCATTAAAACTATGTTCACGTGGGGCCTTTATTCTCAGGTGTCATTTTCCTGAGCTGTGATTCTCAGGTTGCATTTCTTTTGCAACCTGAGAGTTGCCCGTGGCTTTTTCAAGTGTAAATGGCACCACTTTAAAACCTCTGATCCTTTTATTAGTATACCAAAGGAAACCCCTGGAATGAAATATAAGTATCCCCCTAGCTTTGTCAGAAAATAAATTGTGGATGTGGCTTATGTGTCTTGGATGGGAAAGAATCTAAATCATTTTATTCAAATGACAAAACAAACAAAACTCTGTGGTACCTTTCAATCAGTGAAAAACATCCACACCATGGCTGTCAAGTCTTGTTTCATCTGTATTTACATACTTTTCCCTCACTTTTCCCTTCTAAGAATCTTAAGAATAGAGGAGAAACTGTCCCTTTGATAGTTGAATGAGTAGATAGTTAATACATTGTAACATTTGATATTCCAAGGTACATGAATTTGGCATCAGGGCTAGCTTCTTAAGTATTTTATTCCTGGGATTCTTGAGTACATACACTGTGAATTTGTCAGTAGCCATCAGAATGTGTGTTGTTGGCAGGAATAAACTGGCTTGCCAGAAGCAGCAAACAAAATTCTTGTGTCAGAAGTTAGTAATTTCATTGTTTCCTCTTAGCGAAATTACTTATTAAAATTCATTCGTTCTACAAATGTTTGTTAAATCCTACTGCCTGCTTGGCAGGCAATGTTCTTGGTGCTTGAAATCCATCAGTGAACAAAATGGATAAAATTCTTATTCCTTGTGCAGGTGACATTCTAGCCAAGTGATGCAAACAATAAGTAATAAACATAAATAAATAAATTATATACTATATAAATAAATTATATGCTATATAAAGTAGTGTGGAAAAGAAAGAGTAGATCAGGATAAGGGGAGGACTTATTCAACACCAAGTTTACCCATCCATTTATTCAGCACTTGGTAAGTGCCACATATGATAAACGCTGTGATATGGTGACTAGCAACATGAGAAGAGTCCCTGTTTTCAGGTAGTCTGCATGCTCCTGGGAGACACAGCCATTAGTCAAATAACCAAACACCCTCCTCTTCACTCTCTTCCCCTACTTGATCTTCCTCCATAGACTTATCACCCTGTAATATATGTCATATTTTACTTACATATTTTATTTATTCTCTGGCTCTTCCCACTAGAGTGTAACCTTCTTAACAAAAATAGTTTTATGTCTGCTCTATCTACATTTGTATTGCCAGTATGTAAAACAATGCCTGGCTCCTAGTCAGTTCAATATATATTTATTTTTTGCGTGAATAGATAAGATAATCACAAATATTCATATGTTCAGCTACATTTGCTTGGGTTTCCACTTTCCACGGTTGTATAGGAATTTCACTGTTGAAAAATAGAACTAATCATCCCTAATACCATTCCTCATAATAATAGCATTGTTGTGAAATGAAGAAATTTCTAGCATTAGAAAAAACTAACCTAAATAATGTATAGTTATAGGAACAGAGTGTTAACAGCAAAAACCAAGCAAAAATCATACAATTCTGAGAGCAAATTTTATCTTTATTACCTAACAGAGTTCAACGTAATTATTCTAACACTACTTTGAATGTAACCGGATACAGTATAAATGAGAGTTTCCAGAAAGGAGAAATGGGGATTAAATTGTGAATAATTTTTGTAGCAAGCCATAGAAGGGAAAAATATAAATAGCAAATAAACCTCTGTGTCTTCACAGAATTATGAAGCCAAATGGACTATATCCCACATCCTTGGGTATCTTATTACGAAGCTCTCCAAATTGGCAAAGAAAGAATTCTGTTTCTTTAAAGGTAAGTTTTTCTTAAATATTTTATTGGTCGTAGCAGCTCTGTGAAGTCCATTGATTCATTGATTAGATATGACATTATAAAACACACGACATGAAAATGTTGTCCGTGGGAGTTAGGTAGACTTTAACATATTTACTTAACTTTCCATCTCATATCTATGATTTGAAATTTCCTTCCTCTCAAATGTACTACAATCCTATAATATTCTTTGTCAATTGGGTTATGCAATTTTGGATAAAATCAATCCCACCAACTTAAAAGGTCCAAGAAAATAACATATGCTCATTAAAAATGTCTATGTATTCATTCTTTGCAGAAATTCTTTAGCTATTAATTATAAATGGAGGGCATCTTATCTAATGAATCAAATAAAAGCAAAATTTATCTTTCAGAATAAATATCCCAAAACAATTTTTAATATGACATTTTTAAAAATAAATTTATTTATTTTATTTATTTATTTTTGGCTGCATTGGGTCTTCATTGCTGGGCGCGGGCTTTCTCTAGTTGCGGCGAGCAGGGGCTACTCTGTTGCAGTGGGCGGGCTTCTCACTGTGGTGGCTTCTCTT